TAGTTGAAAAGCGGTGTTACTGTTGTTGCTGTTGTTATCATCACGAGGCCTGTTAAACCGGGAGAGCCTCGCTCAGTCCAAAGACTTTCTCAGGAGGGTCCTGCCAAATTTACAAAGTAACGTGTGATCGGTTTAACACGTACCGTAGGCTTTCGCGAACAATGTTATCCATAATAGAGTGTGTACACGATCCAAATTGAGCAATGTGCGGAGGTAATTTTTCAGGGCCGCGATGTTTTTTTGGCTAATACCGGCTACACTGCCGAAATGAGCTTATTTTTAATCTAACTTCTTTAGAACTGGCTTTTTTTTCTTTAGTTCATTGTCCTTCCCCCGCACCTCCAATTAAGCGCGGTTGGCTACGTACGGTGCGAAAGAAGTTCAACATGCACTGTACCGTCTTATTTCAGCTATCGGCAATGGGAGGAAACCACAACCCCAGGCGAATCTGTGAAAAAAAAAGCTTTATAGCTCAACGGATTCCTCCAGTATAAATAAATATTCTGATTCCGGGAGAGAGAGAACATAAACTCTCGCCCAGAAAAGGGTACGCCCCGAGTCCGGGAGTGGAACCCAGGTTCCTCCTGTTGTAAAGCAACACCCATACTATGAAGTATTTATTTCCCAGGTAAGGCCCACAGACCTAAGCAGCAGCCCTGTTTCACAAGCTACCTGGTGGCCACAATTGGTCCGAGTTTCCTGAACTCCTCTCTCACCGTTCACCCAGCAGTATGCAGTAGAACCGTTCTGAACGACCAACCCTGTTAACGACTAATCGCTAAACGACGGGCCTCCATAGAGCCCAGTGTGTAGTGTATAGTGTAGTGTATAGTGTAGTGTATAGTAGTGTAGTGTATAGTGTAGTGTATAGTGTAGTGCACAATAGTGTAGTGTATAGTGTAGTGTATAGTAGTGTAGTGCATAGTATTGTAGTGTATAGTAGTGTAGTGTATAGTCGTGTAGTGTATAGTGTAGTGTATAGTGTAGTGTATAGCAGTGTAGTGTATAGTAGTGTAGTGTATAGTAGTGTATAGTAGTGTAGTGTATAGTAGTCTAGTGTATTGTGTAGCGTATAGTGTAGTGTATAGTAGTGTAGTGTATAGTAGTGTAGTGTATAGTAGGCTTGTGTATTGTATAGTAGTGTATACTGTAGTGTATAGTGTAGTAAATAGTAGTGTAGTGTATAGTAGTGTAGTGTATAGTAGTGTAGTGTAGTGTGTAGTGTATAGTAGTGTAGTGTGCAGTGTAGTGTGTAGTGTAGTGTATAGTAGTGTAGTGCCTCCATAGAGCCTAATGTGTTCGCTTACCGACCATTTCCCTGTTAACGATGGGCCGCTGTAGGTACAGTCAATATGAATTAATGCACTGATTAACCGTGTTTCTTATACAGGCAGTCCCCTACTTACGATGGAGATGCGTTACGACGACCCCTTCGTAAGTCAAAAATATCGTAAGTCGAAGATGGCCCTAGCCTACCCAGGAGTCTTAAAGAATTGTGATAATTTAGCAAAACAGAGCAATTTACAGTACCGTACTGTCTAAACTATATGCTGTATGTATTTATTAATTACAATACTGTGTTGCACAGTAAAATGTAAAGTAAAAAAAACAAGGTACAGTACACACGCTAACACCGAGACAACTTAACTTCGTCGACCAGAGTGTTGAGAGTGAGGCATCGCCACACAAGGAGGGAGATGCGAACATCCCGGCAGCGTCCCAACACACAGTATCGTACCTCGTACGCTGCTGCGTTTGCCCGCCGCGCGAAATTTAAAATATTTTACAATTGTGTCGTATCGCTACCGCCATCGTAAGATCGAAATATCGTAAGTCGGACCATCGTAAGTCGGGGACTATCTGTACTATTAGGTGTTTATAATGTTGTTAGAATCTTATGTATTCATATACAATGTTTAAATAATATAAAGAACGTTTCTTGGGTGAAAAAGGGTAACTTTCGATGGTATCGGAACGAATCTAGCCTTTAAGGTGCATTTCCTAAACTCGCTTCATGACCAAATCGCTTCACGACCAAATCGCTTAACGACTAACTCGCTTCACGACGCTTCACGACCAAATCGATTCACAACCAAATCGCTTAACGACCAAATCGCTTAACGAAGCTTCACGACCAAATCGCTTCACGACCAAATCGCTTCACGACGCTTCACGACCAAATCGATTCACGACCAAATCGCTTAACGACCAAATCGCTTAACGAAGCTTCACGACCAAATCACTTAATGACGCTTCACGACCAAATCGCTTCACGACGCTTCACGACCAAATCGCTTAACGAAGCTTCACGACCAAATCGCTTAACGACCAAATCGCTTAACGACCAAATCGCTTCACGATCAAATCGCTTAACGACGCTTCACGACCAAATCGCTTCACGACGCTTCACGACCAAATCGCTTCACGACGCTTCACGACCAAATCGCTTAACGAAGCTTCACGACCAAATCGCTTAACGACCAAATCGCTTAACGACCAAATCGCTTCACGACCAAATCGCTTCACGACGCTTCACGACCAAATCGATTCACGACCAAATCGCTTAACGACTAACTCGCTTCACGACCAAATCGCTTCACGACCAAATCGATTCACGACTAAATCGCTTAACGACCAAATCGCTTCACGACAAAATCGCTTCACGACGCTTCGCGACCAAATCGCTTCACGACCAAATCGCTTAACGAAGCTTCACGACCAAATCGCTTCACGACCAAATCGCTTAACGAAGCTTCACGACCAAATCGCTTAACGACCAAATCGCTTCACGACCAAATCGCTTAACGACGCTTCAGGACCAAATCACTTAACGACGCTTCACGACCAAATCGCTTCACGACGCTTCACGACCAAATCGCTTAACGAAGCTTAACGACCAAATCGCTTCACGACCAAATCGCTTCACGACGCTTCACGACCAAATCGATTCACGACCAAATCGCTTAACGACTAACTCGCTTCACGACGCTTCGCGACCAAATCGCTTCACGACCAAATCGCTTAACGAAGCTTCACGACCAAATCGCTTCACGACCAAATCGCTTAACGAAGCTTCACGACCAAATCGCTTAACGACCAAATCGCTTAACGACCAAATCGCTTCACGACGCTTCGCGACCAAATCACTTAACGACGCTTCACGACCAAATCGCTTAACGACGCTTAACGACCAAATTGCTTCACGACGCTTCACGACCAAATCGCTTAACGAAGCTTCACGACCAAATCGCTTAATGACGCTTCGCGACCAAATCGCTTCACGACCAAATCGCTTAACGACGCTTCACGACCAAATCGCTTAATGACCAAATCGCTTAATGACCAAATCGCTTCACGACCAAATCGCTTAACGACGCTTCATGACCAAATCACTTAACGACCAAATCACTTAACGACCAAATCGCTTAACGACCAAATCGCTTCACGACCAAATCGCTTAACGACCAAATCGCTTCACGACCAAATCGCTTAATGACCAAATCGCTTCACGACGCTTCACGACCAAATCGCTTCACGACGCTTCACGACTAACTCGCTTCACGACCAAATCGCTTCACGACGCTTCACGACTAACTCGCTTCACGACCAAATCGCTTAACGACGCTTCACGACTAACTCGCTTCACGACGCTTCATGACCAAATCGCTTAACGACCAAATCGCTTCACGACGCTTCACGACCAAATCGCTTCACGATGCTTCACGACGCTTCACGACCAAAACGCTTCACGACTAACTCGCTTCACGACGCTTCACGACCAAATCGCTTCACGACCAAATTGCTTCACGACGCTTCACGACCAAATCGCTTAACGACCAAATTGCTTCACGACGCTTCACGACCAAATCGCTTCACGACCAAATCGCTTCACGACCAAATCTCTTCACGACCAAATCGCTTAACGACGCTTAACGAGAGGTCTCTCCGAGCGAATTACCGTTGTTAAGAGGGGTTCTACTGTACAAGACAAAGGTCTCCCGTATAGCCTTTAACAGACTGTTGGGGCAAGTGCTGTTAGCGAGCACCTATGAAGGCCAGAACAGCACATGAGGGGGTGGGTGGCCAATACCACGCCCGGGCCGCCTTTGTCTCTCTATTTACCACGTAAAGCCCACTGAGCAATTAGTTATTTTTCGGAAGCGACCTGGCCACAAATGATAGCTCAACAAAGTGGCTCATCGTCGCGTGGAAATTTATAGCAGCAGCGGAACACTCTTAAACGCGTGACGTCGATTCTAAATGTCGCGGGACAAACCGGAGGACCCGGAGAAAAATCCACGCGACCACGGGGAGAGAGAAACACATCAGGGTAGAGATCGAACCCACGACCTCCTGCATACCAGGTGAGGTAGTTAACATCTCGCCACGGAGGTGCCACCAAAAGCACCACCACTTCCACCGCCTCAACGCCTGATGAGACACTGAACGTCAAAACATCCGCCTTAGTCGGCAAGCGTTTATAATAATAAAAAAATCCACCCACCAACCCACCGACCCTTCGACCTAGCCAACCCACCGTACCCACCTACCAACCGACCCACCCAACCGACCCACCCACCCACCTAATCCACCGACCCTTCGACTTAGCCAACCCACCGTACCCACCTACCAACCGATCCACCCAATCGACCCACCCACCCACCTAATCCACCGACCCAACCAATCTACTGACCCACCAAACCCACCCAACCGACCCAAACAATCGACTGACCCACCTACCAACCCCACCCACCACCGCCACCACCCCCACAGCGATCTCCACTGAGCGTCAAAACCTCCGCCTTAAGTCAGCAGGTGTTTACAAATAAAAAAAAATTCACCCAGAACATCGCCGACGGATTTCACTCCCCCACCCACCCACCCCACCACCCCCAACCCACCCCACCACAGCATCACCTTTGCCCGCCCACCCACACACCCACCCCAACACCCCCAACCCACCCCACCACAGCATCACCCTTGCCCGCCCACCCACACACCTTTGACGCTGATCTGCGCGGTGGCCTCGACCACGCCGAGCGACGAGAGCGCCACGCAGGTGTAGTTGGCGCTCTCGCGCACGTTGCTCAGCTCGAGGACGTTGCGCGCGATGGGCATCTCCTCCTCGGGTGTCAGGTCCTCGCCGCCCGACATCCACTTGACGTAGGGCAGGGGCGAGCCGGTGGCGACGCACGTCACGTTCACGCTGGCGCCGGGCATCACCTCCTGGCTCACCGGCGGCGTCGTCAGCCTCGGCGGCACGTGGCGGACTGTGACGTCGGAAAGGGTGGGGGCGGGTGGGGGGGGGCGGGGGGCGGGGCGGGGGCATTTCCAGAAACGAAACGAACAAAACAAACACGCAAAAAGACCAAAGGAAGGATGATGATGATGATAATGATGACAACGGGAACGTGAATTATGATGGAACGGGTTGGTGGTGGTGGTGGGGGGGAAACAAGAATAAGAAGAGACAAAAAGAAAAGACGAGGTGGAATAAAACGAGTGAAAAATTATTCAAATGACGAGAAAACGAGGAGGAGGAGAAGGAGGAGGAAGGGGATTGGCAACGGGAATGAGATGGGGGCGGTGTTGTTAATGTTTGGGGGGGGGAGGGTGCCGAGGGGGGGCGTCCGAAGTGGGGTGGGGGGACAGGGGGGGTTGAGGGGGGTTCCGTGTAGTGGGGGGGGGGGATTCATGCTTTGTAGAAGGGGGGGGGGGGGTTGATCGTTACGCGAGCGGTGGATTCATGAAGAGGAGAGAGAGAGAGCGAGCGAGCGAGTGAGTGGGGATAAAAACAAAGACAACGGAACGGACGGACGGACCGAACACAATGGTAATAACACAAAAATAAACCAGAACCGTGAAAAATAACCGCAGCAGAATACGGGCACAAGCCAGCCAAAGAGAGACTCTGAAACCGTTTCATTACAAACTGGGGTTGGCTTTTTGTTTTTTATATTTTCCAGCCCAAAAAGATTTGTTGTTTAAGTAAATTTTTTTTGTTGTTCTGTTAAATTATTAGAATTACAGGGACTTCTCCTCCTACTTACAAACGAATTGGGTTCCAGACGTGTCTGTCCGCAAGTCGATTTGTTGCTAAGTCCAAACATTACCGCCTGTCGATTACAAAACGTGTACACCAAACGCGAGGAAGGGCTTGTGCAAGTTGTACAATCTCCCGCGGACGTGGACGCCGCTCGCGTTCTTCGCGTCCTGCAGACGAAGACGCCGCCGCCGCCGCCGCCACCCAACTTACGACTCTCGGGCCGAACGGGCGCACTGGACGCACGCACCGGGTTTGTCCGTCTCTCTGAAAGTTCGTCGGCCGAACGCTCGTAAGTGGAGGAGTCCCCACCCCCATTCCCTTACCGCATCTGAGATTAGACTCAGCCAGGTGGGTTTGCTGTCACCTATCTCTACGCCGTGCTCTCGAAAAATGAATGGTGGTTTGGGCGACGCGCTAAGTGGAACCTTTTGTTAACAGTTCGGCCCCCTTGATTTGTTTTGATCGAGACCGGCAATTAAAACGGATGGCAGGGGGGTGGGTAGGGATGGGTGGTGCGGGGGAGGGGGGGGCGTTAGCAATTCACCGGCAAAACATTTTGACATTTCGATGGATGTGTTTTGGCGGCGGTGGTTGGTGGCGGGCGGGGTCGGGGTTAGGGTTTGAAAAAATAAGAACAAAATCAATAATTTAATGGATATATATGACACGGAGCGCGCATATATATATATACGCGCGCGCGCGTGTGTGTAACGCTAACTGCCGTCGCCGGCGCGGCCAATAACCTAAACCTTGGTTTTAAAAGAATACAAAAACAACGACGACCCACAGCCAAAGTGGCGTGGAAGGAGGTTGGGGGTGGGGGGGCAGGAAAGAAAATTAAACCAAAGAAATCAAAAATCATTTTTACACGACACACTTCGTGGGGGTAAAAAAAACGGCACCACGTGGACATACAGTGGAACCCTTCGAATGCCGTGAGGTCCGGAACAATGCCCGCTGGGTGATGATTGTTTGTTGTTATTTTCTAAACCCCCCAGTTCGGGCCAGCCGGGACCAGCCAGGACCAGCCGGGGCCAGCCAGGGCCAGCCGGGGCCAGCCAGGGTCTGCCGGGGTCTACCAGGACCAGCCGGGGCCAGCCGAGGCCAGCTAAGACCAGCCGAGGCCAGCCAAGACCAGCCGGGGCCTGCCAGGACCAGCCGGGACCAGCCAAGACCAGCCAGGGCCAGCCAAGACCAGCCGGGGCCAGCCAGGACCAGCCAAGACCAGCCAGGGCCAGCCAAGACCAGCCGGGGCCAGCCAGGACCAGCCGGGGCCAGCCGGACAAATTTGGACATCGCAACTGCATGGGCCTGCCCCACCCCACCCTCCGTACCCCCCCCCCCCCCCACCTCCATCCCCCTCATCCCACCCCCTCCAACCCTTCCTGGTGCCCGCGTGAGAAACGTGGTTATTAAGCCTGGGCAACAACAAAAAAACGTTCCCACCGATTGTTGGTTTGCCGGACCTGGCTTCGCTCAGCGGACTTGTGAATCCGGCGCGACACTGAGCGGGTTCCATTGTATGCGTCGTTAACAGTCACCCGAGGAAACAACAGGTTGGGGAGGAGGGGGCGCGCGGGGTGGGGGGGGGCGGGGAGAGTAGGGGGGGGCACGGGGAGGGGGGGGGGCACGAGGAGGGGGGGCTCGTGGGGGGGGGGGGCGGGGGAGGGGGGGGGCAGTGGGGAGTTTGCCCCGCGTGCATGCGTAATAGTTCCGTCCACCCCAGGATGCCAACGCGTCATCTTGCGCGGCGGCCTCGTCCGCAAAAGGAACGCCGAACGTCCGTCGAGAGAGAGCTGTTTGTTTTTGTTGTTGTTGTTGTTGCGAGTGCGCTTAGTTTGTCGTTGTTGTTGTGGCGCCGCCGCCGCCGCCGCCTCCCCGCCTGGCCACGTGCGTACGGTGCGAAAGGAGTTCAACGTACGCACGGTACGAGCAGTCCCAAGGTCACCGCCGCCGCAGCCACCGCAGCCACCGCAGCCGCTTACCCCCCCCCCCCCTCCTCTCCCTTCCCACCAAGCTGAGGCGGGCCCCTCGGCAACTTTCTGCGCCCGAACAATTGACCGGCAAAAAGCTCCTCCGCCACCGCCGCCGCCGCCAACGCCGCCAACGCCGCATCGTCGTCGTCTATGTTGGAGTCGGCGGCGGCGGTGGCGCCTCCGTTCCAAGAGCCGCTCCGTGCCCGAGTCCCCCCCTCGGCTATCGCGGCTGCGGTGACGGCGGAAGACGGCAGCGGCGGCGGCAGACTCGGGCTGAACGATTTGGGGGAAAATATCTCATTGCGATTTTTCTGACAGATATTGCGATTTGCGATAAAAATGTTTAAGTCGAGCTTCTGTTCAATATTCACTGTGTAATAGATTTAAAACACGTGATGGAGCATTACCACGTGACACCATCAAAATACGAACTGCTCTATGTATTCTAATGCAAGGATGAGAACTTAAAATACGTGAATTGCTTCCAACTTGCATTTATTAAAATGTATTAATTGAAATAGAGCATAATCTTAGTTCTTTCGGTAAAGTCACGTTGAAGGGAAACAACAAAATAATAAAATATATATAAAACAATAAAAATTCTCACGACGTTTCGACCATAACACAAACGGTCGTCTTAAGACCTGACTTTCCCGAAATAACTAAGAATATGAATTACTGCAGTCATGAAAGCTTTAAATCAAAATGAAATAGAGCAATCAAACATGGAACAATTGTTAAGTTGAATAAGTAAAGTTAAATCAATAAAAAAAAAACAATTCCAATGAGAAAGTAATAGGGACATTTTCAAATCGCCAAAAAAATCGCGGCCTTTACGATTTGCTCATCGCATTGTTTCAAATTGCCATTAATCGAATTTGAAATCGATTCATCGTTCAGCCCCAGCCCCAGCAGCGGCGGCGGCGGCGGCGCTTTAACTTGAGCTCTCTGGGACGAGTCCGCGTGGGGTCGGCACCATACACATGCTCCGAAGAAGGAGGCACATATTCTGCGACTGTGGGGAGAGGGGGGGCGGGGGTTGTTCGTTTGTTTGCCAACCATGGTGGGGGGTAACCTGCAGCCCAAGGTGACCCGGGTTTCCATTTGCCGTAAGCTGTGGACGTGCACGCACGCGGGGTTTACATTTGCGTGAGTGTGTGTGCGTGAGTGTGTGTGTGTGCGCGTGTACGTGAGTGTGTGTGTGTGCGTGAGTGTGTGTACGTGAGTGTGTGTGTGTGTACGTGAGTGTGTGTGAGTGTGTGTGTGTGTACGTGAGTGTGTGTGAGTGTGTGTGAGTGTGTGTGTGTACGTGAGTGTGTGTGAGTGTGTGTGAGTGTGTGTGTGTGAGTGTGTGTACGTAAGTGTGTGTGAGTGAGTGTGTGTGTGCGTGTGTGTGTGAGTGTGTGTACGTGAGTGTGTGTGAGTGAGTGTGTGTGTGTGAGTGTGTGTACGTGAGTGTGTGTGCGCGTGTCGAGCGTGGTGCTGACCACCCGAAGGCCGTGCCGGCCTTCGTAGGTGTTGCTCGCTGACGGCACTTGCCCCCAACAGTCTGTTGAGGCTACACGGGGCATCTTTGCCTTTGCACGAGGCGTGCCTCCCGCAATGGCGACCAGTACCACCTTGGGCTGCTGTTCGTGGCCATGGTAAAGACGGCGTCGCGAATATGTCGGGGTCGAGGGGGTCAAGGTGAGGGACTGGGGGGGTCAGGGTAAGGAGGGGAGGGGGGGGGGAAGGGTTTGGGCACCCACCAGACTCGGCATGCAACTCATGGGGACGGTGCATCTGCCATGCCGGCAAAGAACCGCACGCACACACGCTGGCTGGCACACACACGCTGGCTGGCACACTCACTCTGGCTGGCTGGCACACGCTTGCTGGTACACGCACTCTGGCTGGTACACGCTGGCTGGTACACTCACTCTGGCTGGCTGGCACACGCTTGCTGGCACACACACGCTGGCTGGTACACGCACTCTGGCTGGCTGGCACACGCTGGCTGGTACACGCACTCTGGCTGGTACACGCTGGCTGGTACACGCTGGCTGGTACACGCTGGCTGGCACACACACGCTTGCTGGTACACGCACGCTGGCTGGTACACGCTGGCTGGCACACGCACTCTGGCTGGTACACGCTGGCTGGCACACGCACTCTGGCTGGTACACGCTGGCTGGTACACGCTGGCTGGCACACACACTCTGGCTGGTACACGCACGCTGGCTGACACACGCTGGCTGGCATACGCACT